GTTGTCCAAGATCCCTTCCTCATGAAAAGACGTCTCTTTTGTTAACAGTAGATTGGGTTGTGTTTTTGTTTTTGTTGTTGTTGTTGTGGCTATTGCTGTTGTTGTTTCTATGCAAAGGTAGAAGGTTATCACCTGCCTAGTTTTATTAGGACCTAAGAAGATTACATATTTCTTCTTCCTCTTCTTACATTTTTCCTCTGCTGCATCTTCCAACAGATTCATTCATATTGATCCAAACAAACAAAATCACTAGTCAACAAGCATGCACTGATGGAAAGAAAGATGCATCAGCATTCATTTACAGATAATGAAAGGCCAGAGTGACATATTGAATAGAGGCCTCATGCAAGCCTGTAGCACTGACATCTCTGAACAGCTGCTGGGGACTCAGCATTATAGTAAGGCCAAGTGGTGGTGACACCTTGTATTGGTTGTCCCTGTCTTCAAATCTCCTCTGTACTCTTGAGAGTTCTTGGACTCTTGATCTTGTGAAGAAGCAGCTGGCAACCCACCCTTTAAAAATCCCCACAGTGCTACAGAATGGCAGTTTCTCAAAGCATTTGTGGATACTTAAAGTGCTGGGCAGCTCACAGCCACCTGCCACTGAATGTGTTTCTGCAAGTCCCCACTGAACATGGCATGGATACACTGCTGTTGGAAGGTGGGGATGGGGGATCTGAAGCGTGGACTCAAATCCTTGCTCTGCATTCATTTATGGTGATTCTGAGACTGTAACTTTTTTCCAAAAAGAGATAACGGGGGCAAGGTTGTGACAATAAGGTGGGGCTATATCCCCATATTCCACACATACTCAAGAAAGGCATGGTACCGATGCCTAGGTTTTATCATAACAGAAAGAAAGGAAAAAGAAAAAAAGGCAAGGTCTAAATGTGGTATTGAAAAAAAAAAATGTGTGGAATGAGTCCAGTCCCTTTTCAAAAGCAAAATAAAGCAATTTTAGTTAAGCAATTCTATAGTACGAAAACTGTCTTCACTGCCTTCTTAATGCTACAGAGCAAATAAACCGGCATTTAGAGGAAGATAGCCAAGATAGAAACCACCTATTGTGAGGAGAAATGGAAAAAGCTGGGTATGTTTACTTTGGGGGAGAAACATGATACCTCCTTGAAATATCTGACGGCCTGTCATGGAAGGATCTTAATAGTTTGGACCGTTTAGCCATAACTTATTAAAATGCAATTCAGCAGAGATCAATGTAAAGTCCTCAGTTTATGCATGAAAAATCAACAGCCCCAGAATAGGATGAGGGAACAGGATCTGGCAAGTGTACAACTGAAAAGGGTCTAAGTGTTTTAGTGTATCATAAACTAAACACAAACCAGAAGCATGATGGAGGTGGTAAAATAAGCTAATGCAGCATGAGGCCATATAAACGGGAGCATAGTGTCCATATGCTTCTCCTTATGCTTGTGGGGTGCTTCTGAGCAATAATATTTACACTTTTTACAGACAGGTTTAGAAACAATTGGTAGAAACTGTAGGGAAGCAGATTTAAGCCAAATATTAGAGGCTTCCTAATGGAGATATGTTTGACGAAGGAATAGACTGCCTTTGGAGGTGATGCCTTCTGTTTCACTGGACTTGTTGGGGAGGAGGCTGGAAAGCTAATCTGTCAGAGAAGCTCCAGCACATCAAGCAGGAGGCTGGAATAGATGACCTCCAAGGTCTTTTCCAAGTTTAAAAGTCTCTGGTTCTATGCTACTGTAAAATGAATAGGACATTATGCTCTTTTTAAAATTAAAATACTGAAAATACTATTTCAGTCCCCCTGCCCATTTCTGTGTGTCTGTGTGTCTGTGTGTATACAACTGTTTGCTCTTTTCCTACCTCCATTAGGTTTTCAGAATGGGAACTGTTAATACTACCTTTAATCAAGTGACTTTATTTCTAACTTTTAGAAAAATTAAAGCAATGTACAACTAACTGAAATACAAAAAGATTTTTCCTCTTCAAACACTGTTTTCCAGACAACTAATTATATTATTATTATGTAGATTTTCTAGGCCAGTTGTTGCATGCATATTGCAAAGCAATATATTTTGGCAACTTTTACAATGACAGGTCATTCATGAGCGCCCCTCTCCCTTTAATTTTCTTATGTTGTATTCTCTAAGCAAGAAAGAGCCAAGGAGTTACTTTAGTAGCAGCGCTTCATTAAGGTCTCACTCAGCATCAAGGGGGAGGGAGAAATGTTAGAATAGCAGGAACAGGGCAGTGAAAAGCTGCTTGGCCTTTACCAGAGCTCACAAAACAGAAATAGTTTCTGACCCTTTTCTCTCATTCTTTTTTTTTTTCCACACACAAATTAGGACTTTCTCATTGTATGCATTGCATGTACTCCAGGGTGTGTGAGATGAAAGCTGCTATGAAAGCATGAACTTTTAATGTCTTGACTTGAATATGAGAAAAAAAACCTGACATTTTCTCAACATTATTTTATATGCCTTCCCACATCCTAATGAAGGAGAAAGGGTGGATGATGGTGGTGGTAGGAGCAATTTAATAAGCAAAGTTGGATGTGAGAATGAGTGAAAATTACAGCATCTAATCTATGTTCAGTGGAAGTCCACAGTAGATCAGAGTAGATACCTGGAAGGGATGTTCAATAACTCTCCCTCTGCACAATTTTGTGGTTTTTGCATAGTGTGTTTTTCCATTTGAGCAATCTGCCTGTGGACAAATCTAGTGAAAATGCCTTATCTCCCATTTCTCTACTCAAAAAGGGTGAACATTTTTTTCACAGGTCTAGAAATAGAACAATAAAATCAATCAGCAAAAGGAGAGCCTACCGTAAGAAAGTAAAAATAAAATGCAATTTAATTGTGGGTTTCGTAGCCACAGTGTTTGGTAAAAGCTATTGGCTAGATGGCTGTAAAGCAAGACTAGACAAATATATAATAAGTGGATCTATGGATTGGCTCACATTCGTGATGATCATGTGCAGAGATCTAGTGAGGGATTGAACAAGCCTTCTTTTTATTCCTATGATGAGGGAAGGGAAATGCTGCTTGAGGCCAAACACAACAGGGTCTGCCCGACCCCTTTTCTGAACATCCATCACCATTTTCACGGCCTTCCTTCATCTGCTCATGCTTAGTTTATCAGCCTGACTTTAGACAGAAGGGGAAGAAGCAACAGCAGAGGGGGCTACAATTGCTGCATGGAGAACAATGGGGGCTGTATGCCTCATGCAGCATCCCAGCAGGAATAGAATGTGCCTCATTTTCCCCAGGGCTAATGGGGCAGTAGCAAAGGAGATGGTAGCAGGTTTTTTGGCTGAGAGTGTTTTGTGTACACCTGCTTGGATACCCATTATGAAGCATTTTTACTGTAGGATGTTTCTTGCAAGATCACAGTATCCTGAAGATACAGCACATTTAGAAGGAAGAAAAGAAGGGATGGAGGGAGGGAGAACTGGAATCTGAATGTTTTCTGAAATACTTCCTTGCAAAACTTGCATTTAATCTGTACATCCCTGCTACATGGATTGCACATGCTAAGCTGGTCTGCAGACAAGCAGGTATTATCCTAATAGTTCCTCTTTGTGGGCTGGTGAAAAGCCAGCACCTTACTCCAAGCAGATCATTGGGTGTGTTGAACCAATATTATCTCATCCTGACTGAAAAGAGCATTCAAATTATGGGAAAAGATGGAGGGAACCCTTCTGGATAAATTTCGCAAATCCCACCTACATGGCACTCCTCCATGTTCAAGCCAATTTATTTCCCTTCCCATTCCATAGCATTGTAAAAACAGTAGCTAAGGTCTTGATCTTTTCATGAACTAGTAAAAACAAATATACGAGTAGGACCAAAAGTCCACGTAATGCAAGAGGTACAGCCTGTGATATTTCTGTTCAAAGAAAAACTGTGTACGAGATAAGCAGAGTAAGTATTCATGACAGTGGTAATTGGTGAGAAGACAGATTCTCATCTCTTCTAGCTAATTTAACACCTTTCAAGGATGGGATGGGAGTTAATAAACAATAGAGCTAATAGCAACTACCTGCATGACACAATGGCTTCTGCTGAATATCTGAGAAGCCATACTTACGTAGTGATCAATATCCTAATTTGGCACATGTTATAGTTAAAATTACACAATTTAATCTGCAAATTTGAACACAGTTGCAGAAAAGTAAGTACAATTGAGATCAACAGGAGTTATTTTGAAGGAAATTAGGAAATTAATACGAATTAGGACTGGGCTTCAGCACTCTCATTCAGCTCATAGGGAAATTAAGCATAATCTTCTGTCTCACTTGAAATGGAAGGATATAGAATTGCTCAACATTGTCTAAATAATTGTGTCAACATTGTGGTGCTTCATTTCCCCTTGTTATGTTTTTTGGAGCATTCCATCTGACTGAAAGTCATAGGGTTATGCCTAGGATATCAATAGGATACCAGAAGAACAGTCAGGCTTGATCTTATAACTTGAAGAGAAACTTCAATTGTAGGAATCAGAAGATGGAGAGCCTCCCTACCTGCAGCTTCTCCACAGCATGATCAAATTTGATTGTGTGTTGATTTGTATTTATATCTCACCTTTTTCTTTGAAAAGCTCAAACTAGCTTACATAATCCCCCTCCTCTCCATCTTCAATTTATTGATTCAAAATAGTGTACAAAAATTTTAAAAATTATAAGACTATGCAATTATTAATGTGTGTTTATGGTTGCTAAAGAATCTTTTGTACTACAAACCATTAGACAAGCAAATGAATGTTGAAATGCTATTTTGCAATGAAATATTGGACTTAGTTGAATTTGGGTTCCATTGAAATCAGAGGGACAAGTTAGCAATAACTTACAAAAACTGTTCATCAACTACATTAATTAAATTAATTTGGATCCAGCCTAATCAATTTCCTGACTCATACTATTTTAAAACATAAAGCTCTTCCTTTCCATACCTATTCTGATCAAAGTACCTATGTAATATTTCAGATTTCTGTAACCATTGTTTCACCTATTTTAGATCATTCATACTATGAGAGCCATTGACAAAGATGATCCTAAAAGTGGACACTATTTTGTTTACAATCTTCCACCTGAAATGGCCAACAATCCCAATTTTACAATCGAGAAAAACCAAGGTAAATATCACATGGTGGAATCTTGTGTGATTATTTCTCTTTCATTGCTTTGTGTTGCTTGTTTTGCTAATATCTGTTTCTCTTCACTAATGAGAATTTGGTTTTAATCTTCATGGCTGTGTAATTGTATCTTCTCAAAGTATCGGGTATTGATGTAAAATACAAGAAGTTAGGCTAGACTAAATTAAGATACAGCAATTAGTTCACAAAGTCATATATAATCTTTCAAGAGATACTTATCTTCTCATAGATGTTTTGCTAATTTTGAAGTGTTGGTGATATCTAGTGTAAAATACGGTATAGATTATTCGTTCGTAAAGAAATGCTGACTTCATATATAACCAGGGGTGCATAGACTCTTGCATTCTGATCTGTTGCTTGCTCACAGGATTTTTTTTTTGTTCTGATAAATTGTCTCCTTTTTCTGATGTGTAGTTTTTAACTGTGTTGTAAATTTTAGTGCAGTCTAGGACAGTTGTTTTATTGTCCTAAGCTGCCTTGGGAAAGTTTGTGCAAGGGTTGGGCCAAACCCTATTGGATTCTGTTCCTCCAAGCATTCATAGGGTTCCCCTTGTACTTGGCCTGGTCTTCCAAAGTAAGCCAAGTCATGAGGAAGACTGTGAACACTTGTCAGTCACCAGTTTGGCAACCATCAGACTTCTTCTGCAGCAGCTGCAGCAGCACAAAAGGCAGCTGCAACTGGCATGGAAGGGGGATGTTCCTTGAGCTGTGGTCATGGTGGGCTGCTTTCCTGGTAAGTTGCATCTACTCAATAGTGGCTGCTACTGGCAAACATGGGGATTGCTACTAGGAGTTGTAGGAAGCTACATTCCTGGTCAGCACATCATAACCAGCCTTATTTGGCATCAGTTCCAAACCTCAAATAGTGACCCACATGCGGTGTGAGTGAGACACTGCTTGCACAGAGCGTGGGGCTCAGTTCCTCACAAGTGCTCCTCGAAATCTTGCCCGGAACTCAGACGACGGAGAGCTGCAAAGTGAACCAGAGTCCAGGGAACTGAGCCCAGGCAATCTCATGGATTACCACCTCCACATGGATTCCTTAGCTCATGCCCTGAAAGGCAATCACAAATTGTAAATATACTTCTATTTCTAATTCTCCAAAAAGGCCTTTTGCAGTATATTCTTTGCGTATGGCAGAAGCCAGGTCCTCTTCTCAATCTCCAAAATGTTGCTATGTCCAAGATCTTGTGAAGGAAGGCACGGTGATGGTGAGTCTGCTTACATACGTACAGCAGCAACAATACAATGCAAGCACACAGCTTTTAAAAAAGGTTTGTGGAGCACACATGTACTACCATCACTGCTAAAAGTGAGCCTTACCCCTAAAAAATTGCTGGAGAATCTTCCCTTCTAGAAGAAATATCACAGAACATTAATACTGATACAACTGAACATCCACATTGCTTTTGTCTGGCGTTTCATCAGTGCAGTGGCAAAGCCAGCTTCAGGAATCATCATTATGGGGAAATCTCATGCCCCAGTGGAATTAGTTCATTCCAGTCCTTGGATCTATTGTTCTGCCTTCTTGTTGCTGCCTGTACTTGCCCTCTCTGAAGAAATGAACCATAAGAGGAGTGAGTAGAAGGATAAGGAATTTCTGTATGATTTGTCCTCTTTCTCTAGGAAATGAAACAAAGTGGACCTAGAGGGAGATGCACACTGCTGGTGAAAAGGGGGAGGTGTTCCCCCCGACACCACCATGCTTAGAATCATAGAACCATAGAATAGTAGAGTTGGAAGGGCCATGAAGGCCATGGAGTCCAGCCCCCTGCTGTTGCAGACACCATGTTACACCATCCCACTCAGATGGCTGTCAAATTTCTTGTTGAATGCCTCCAGTGTGGGAGAGCCCATCACCTCTCTAGGCAGCTGGTTCCACTGTTGTTTTGCTCTGATAGTGAGGAAGCTCTTCCTGATGTCCAGCTTGAATCTAGGTTGTCGCAACTTGAATTGATTATTCCTACACTCTGGCATCAGCAAATTGAGATCTTGACCTTCCTCTTTGTGACAGTCCTTAAGGTACTTATAGAGGGATATCATTTCCACCCTCAGTCTTCTCTTTTCAAGGCTGAACATGCCCAGTTCTCCCAGTCTCTCCTCATAGGGCAGGGTTTCCAAACCTTGGATCATTTTTGTTGCCCTCTGCTGGACCCCTTCTAATTTTTCTACATCTTTCTGAAATCTTGGTGCCCAGAACTGGACACAATATTCCATGCAAGCTCTGACTAGTGAGAAGTATAGAGGAATTACTGCTTCTCTTGATTTGGAACTAATACGTCTGTTGATGCATCCCAAAATAGCATTTGCCCTTTTGGCGGCTGCATCACATTGTTGGCTCATGTTTAGCCTATGTCCACAATTACTCCAAGGTCTTTTTCTTCTTCCACAATGTTTAGCCTATTGTTCACAATTTACTAATGCCTCATCAAACTCTGGAATCAAACCTGAGCATCAGTAATGTAGGGGTGGCAAGAAAAAAAAAAAAAAAACCAGACAATATTTAGACATTTTAGAAAGGATGCAGCAGATCAACTCCATTTCAAAAACAATACACGCTAGGGTTTTGTGAGCATTCCTGTGTTTCAGAGACAGAGTGCTTCTATCAGAAGGCTCCATGAAACTCCAGAGAGGAGCTTGTCACAAGCCAGTTTTGGCAAAGAGAAATTACTGTCAAGCATATACTAAAAACAAGGGTGAGAATGTTGTTAGGTCAGCAAACTTTGAAGAACAACTTAGTTTAGCAAAGTTTTTTTGAAAAGGAAAGGGCACACTTTAATCCTGTCAGACTCTAGAATTGTCCTTTCATTCATACTGATGAAGGAAGAAGACAAATTTGAATTCCTTTTACTGTCACTGGGTAATAGAATTTACCCTGGCTTTGTTTTCTGCTGCACAGATGTACTTGAAGGTCATATAGTGAATGATCAGTAAATAGTCAGTGTCTTGAAAGATTATTTTCTGAATGTGTGGATTGTCACATAGGGGCTGTTCATTGAGTTGATTGCTACAGTGACTGGCTTAAGCTGTGCATATTACTCATCACATATGTGCTGATGGATAGGCAAGCTGCAGCATTTCCGCTTTGCTTCCTGAGTTCCATTTCAGGTTTCACAGGGTGGGGAAGGTTTAACACTTTCAATATTAAAATGGGCTTCTCTGGGACAAGGTGGTTGCAGGACTTGCGTCCACCACAGGGCCCTGAGACCTTGCCTATTTTTTGTTTGTCACTACATTTGATTGTCAGTGTTCCACATGATTCTTGCTTGACTGTACGTTTAGGCAACTACAACAAAATGAAGTGTACATGTCTAGGACGGGGGTATTCATTCAGTACATATGAAAAAGGATTTTAGTACATGTGATAAAGTTGCAAAAAAGAAAGCAGAGGTAATATGGTTTTAGGTGGCCTTAATGGAACCAGTGTTTCCAAATGGCAGGACATAACCATTGCACTTAATTCTGCACTATTCAGAACTCATTTGGATCACTCACTAATTTCTGGATACTGCACTTTAAGATGGATATAGATAAAGTGGAAGTGGTTCCTAGGAGGGCAACCAGGATGATCATGGAAAGCAAGCGCTGCTTAGATTTGGGTTTTTAGCTTGGTGAAAAGAACCCTATAGTCACCCATGAGTGAGTAAGCACTTTTTTCTCTGTTTCCCCAGGGAAGATTACAAAATCTAATGAGCCTAGATTAGAAGATGCTAGATATGAGAGAGGTAAGAAGCAAGGGGAGAGGTACACGAAAACGGTGCATAGCAAGTGTGCAGAACCTTGGCCTCAGGAGCAAAATCTGCCACTCACAGCGTCCTAATCTGAGCCTACAGGAATCACCAGGAAGTTATGCCTCTTTTCTCCATGTTCAACACTTTTCTGGCTTTTGCACAACTTTCCCCCTATTCTAAAATGTTAAACTATCTATACCTCTCAAGGCTAAGTTACTGGGAATGGAAGCCTTAAACAAAACTTGCTGATCTCTTTGGTAGTTTGGTTCTACCTTTTTGTCTTTGTACCATCTACCACTAGATTCCAGGTCCTGGATTATAATAAAGGGTGAGAATATGGCAGGACACTCTAAATAATTGTCCTTTGAGAAATGCTCATCAATAGCACCTTCTCAAACTGGATGAAGGTAGCTAGTAGGGTCCTGGGCCCAGTGCTCTTCAACATCTTTATTAATATTCCAGATGAGGGAAGTACAAGGGAAGACAATCAGGTTTGCATACTATACAAAACTGGGTAGAATAGCAAACACCTTAGACAACAGAATGGAGGCCCAGGGAGAGCTTGATAAACTTGAATGCTGGGCTGAAAGCAACAGAATGAGATTCAATACAGACTAGTGCCAAGCATTCCACATAGGAAAAAGAAATCAAATTCATTGATACAAGATAAGGAATACATGGCTCAACAGAACTGGAAAAAACCAAGAAGACCACAGAGTAATTGCAGACAATAGTTAAAGAGGTAGATTTCGGTTGAGCAATAAGACAACTGTGTTGATGATAAGATAACAGAAGCAATGACCTAGAGAGATGGATAAGCTCACATATTTGTTAAGCAGATGTGGGAACAGTAATCCAATAGCAATGTTCTAGCTTTGGATCTCCTCTATCAAACAAGGCTTGGGTTAAGTAGCCTATGATTTTTTTGCTTCCATGCTTCTAGGTTCTACTCTAAGCAGTGAAATACCACATCCAAGTAAAAGGCTAGAATCAGTAAGCTTTCATGACCAAACTTACAAGCCTGTTTGCATTTATTTTGAGCTTAGCTAATAGTCTGTAGTACTCATTAACTTTCTCCATCCAGTCTGTTACTCATCTGAGACTTCCTCTGGTTCCATCCTCTAAAGTCACTTGCAGAAAGGCATAGGAACTCAGACCTGTATAGCAGTTTGTATCCTCAAATATGTGCAATGCTATTTTTGTGTGACTAATTGCACTACATTAGGGAAGTAACCTTTTTCTTAAGAG